TTTGTTTCTTTGGTTGTATGGGTTACTTTTGTTGGGAACTTTCTCGATGATTTATGATTCAAGTTATCTTGATCCAAAATTATTTGGACATACACTCTTGACCTATCTCACGAGAATAACCTTACCTAAGTTCTCCATGTTTCTTTTAACTAAATTTGTTCACATGTTTTTTTTCTTAATTTCTCCCTTTTTCGAGCTTCCCTCTTTCTCCGATTCGTCTAGATGGTTCAAAAAGTGGTAGGAAAATAGATTTTTAAGATGATAATTAAACAAGCTGGTGATTTCAAATTTTAAAAACAACCAAAACATTTTCGTTGCAGTTTTTCTTTTGTCTTAATGGATTATATGAGCATTCTTCAATTTATATAAATTTTAGCTCAGGTCTCATTTTATTTGAGCTCATTTGGGTCACTTATTTTAAAACTATCATTTTGTTATTGAAATTATTATCTTTTTCTCTCATGATTACCTTTGAATCAACGGGCCTCTAAATGAGGTTAAATTTAAGCACAGAGAGATTCAATCAAAAGATTTCAATGATACAGACCCAATAATGAAGTTTATTTCAAAAAATAAAGACTCATTCAAAATTTTTATATGGGACCATTTTTATAGAAAGCAATATGTGCATAACATTACCTAAAAATGGGGTTCAGGAATCAACAAACGAGTTTATATACTTCTCAAACGTGATTACGAAGACAATGCAACTGCAAACTGTATTTTTGATTACTAGATTGACCTGTAAAAAAAAAATTAGAGTTTGTAGAGCATTAAGCATGCATTGAAATTTGAACATAAAAATTTAATCTAAAAATTATTTCAAATAATTTTTGAACTTGTTTGTATGATTTTTATATATGATAATAAACATCATGAAACTTTTTGAATGAAGCTTCGAGTCCTACACTGTTCCCGGGAGAAGAAACAATAATTTTGGAGTTTATGTTGATCAAGATTAATTTCAGGATTTGGTTAAAAAGAGTTAATTTTGGAGTTTGTTTTGGTAAATTTCAATTTTCATTAAGTTAAATTTTAGTCTTATCAAATTAAGGCTTAAGTTCAAGATTTATCTCAGGTGAGCTAATTAAATACAAGATAGGAAAAATAATTGACTGAGAACTGAGATCAACAACGAATTATTGTTCAAAATAGAAAAAACAGACCATATCTTGCTCAACTTGGCGGATTTGGTTCAACTTTGAAATAATTATTGAGTTTTTTTTTTATTTTAGAAACTTTAATCTTAATTTTTTTAATTTTAGATCAATTATGATCCGTCTTAAATTAAAAATCATAATATTCACATATCTAAAATTGAAAAGCATTAGGGTTAGAAAAAAAAATCACTTGGAAAGACAAACATTGAGCATAAAACATGCTTATTTTGGGTTATTTTGAAATTTCTAATTTTGAAGTTATGGTGAAAAAATAAGAAAGAGAAAAGTAAATTATGATTCTAAAGTTGTTTCATTTCAAAAATTTTAATCATAATGGTATGTTTTAATTTTCTTAAAGTGAACCAATTAAGCCAAATTATATTTCAGCTCAATTTTAATGAATTTTAATAAGAGTTTTATTGTTTTGTTCATAGATTAAGAATTCGGATTTTACTTTATTTGATGATATGTATACTTATCTATCCAAACTAATTGATTACAAACCCTTACATGAAACTTAAATATGTTCGTACGAGTTTATTTGAACAGAAATCAACAAATTTTAACTAATGTGATCTAAATCCAAACAACCAAATAATATGAGAGCAATCAATAAAAATCTCAACAAAATAAAAATTATATAGGTTCTTTGTACAATAATACATTGATTTAAATTATTTTTATATTCCTTATAAAATGCTTTCTCATTCCTTATTCAACCATTTCTACTAAATTATTATTTGGAGTTTTTCATTCACTAATCATAAAACGAATTTATAAGATTTTTGGATTAGTTATAATGCTTATTATATGTTATAAATAATATATGGAACTTCGATTTTTGGTTGACCATTCATTTTGTGTTTCATAAGGAGCATAACAAACTTAAAAGGCTTTCAAAGATTTTCCTAGAATTTAGATTATTTCTTACATCAAAGGATAGGAAGGTGTTCAATATCAAAATAATGGGCGATTGAGGTTGATTTATAACAATGTAGTTTGATGGGGGATTATCAAACTTGGTTGGAGGCATATTATTTCAAGTATGAGGTGTGAAGTAACAGGGAGCAGTGACAATAACAACTAAAGCATTTAGCTATAAATATGGGACTTTATAACAATTTTGTCCATTCTTGGTGAAGTTTTCTACGACTCCTTCTCCTTGGATCATGATAGTCTGAGAAAGGTGGGAAGTTTTTTTAGGGGCATAGTGAACTTCCTTAAAATTTTTATACCATTCAAAATCACAAGTTTTTTATTTAGGAGGAGAAAAGAATGAATTTACTCATTAACACCAATTAAAATCAGCCTTGCAATAGTGATTGTGAAGTTGTCAATAACAAAAGGGATATTTACCTTGCTAGCATTTTCAACAAAATTGCTTTATTCCAAAAACATAATTGTTATTCTAATGGTTTATTACACAAGGATCTCTCTAAATTCTCACACAAGGGGGTCAAGGGGAGGGGATAGAGGGAAAAGAAGAAGAAAATTTGAAGTATCAATTGTTTAAGATCAGTGGTGTCGTATTTATCAAATAAGGAATACAATTTCAAACTTTATTATAGTCATAAAAAAATACATTATAAATGAATTTTTTTATTCAAGTTTATTTCAGGCTTACTAGAACCTTAACTATTTTACATCAATTTATTGTGTTCTTAAAAGGGGTTATAGAAAGGTCACATACTTATCACATACCTCTTTAATTATAATTGCCAATATTTTTGTGAGCAACATATAAGAAAAATTTTTGAATAAAAATAACATCTCCTCCTTAGTGTTGAAATATTATAGGAAGAAGTCATTGATTTCATTAATTAGTACTAATTGAGAGTTCTTTAGAAAAAGAGGGAAAGAACATGCAACAGAGTTATATGGTCATGTATAATTATATATGTTGATATATATATATATGGTCTTGTATAATTAGTACTTAATGCATTTGTAATAAGAGACCATGCAAAAGGAATCGTTAGATGTAAATATTAGGCGAGTACAACTTTATGGAAATGTTTACTATGTAGATGTGGGACAAGTGATGACATGTGCACTATTGAGATGATTGATACTAAGTCAAGCTTGGCAAGTTAGGTTGGCATTTAGCTTGCCAAGCTAGTTCGACAAGTCAACTTGGCAGCTAGTGCAAGACAACTGACACATTGTCAAGTTAGATTAACATGTCAGTCTGACTTTTACATTCTAATAGTTATGATAACATCGCGGCTTGCTAAATGGGGTTACTTTGATAAAATTAGTATCTTGGGGATAATTAGACTGACTTGGGCTCACCATGCCTGCTAAACCCGAATTTTGACTCATAAATGTTGAACTTTTATATGCACAATAAGATAGAAATTATTTTTTTTTCTTAACTCTTAAATGATGGATCTCATATTTTGACGACCAAATAAGCTCAAATTATATGAAAGTGATTATATCACATATAAGCAATGCACGTTTCAAACACTTTCTCTTTTTTTTTGGAAATAACCCAATTTATAAAATATTTACATTTTGGTTGTATTTTTTTTTTACATAATTAATATTTTAGATAAGCGCATTTAAAAAAAATAAAATAAAACTAATATGTAGCGCAATATTAAAAAAAGGAACATAAATACAAATAGAAAATAAATAAAAAAGATAAACAATTATTATTTAAAATAAAAAACTAAATAAATCAATTTTTAACAAAGTGCACATGAAATGGAAATATTATGATTTTCATCATAAAATAATCTTAACAAAATTCGATAGCAGATATATCATTCAATTTCTTTATATTCACATATCTAACATCTCGTTGATTTTTTTACATTTATACCATCTTAAGTCTTTCCAATCACATAAACAATAAACAAAATTAAAATATAAGTTCTCATGTATAGATAATTTTGTATATACATAGAAATTAAAATTGAAATATTAAAAAAATTAAGTACAAAAGAAATGATTGGTATGCATGTCAATAAATTAAAATAAAAAATTTTCCCAAATTAAAATAAGGGTGAGAGAGATTTGTACACCAATGAGTACCCTATTAAGATGAGATTTTGATGGGCAATATATAAAGCATTCTAGTGTTATTTCATTGCGTATATCAATTTTTTTTAATCAAATAATTTATTTTATTAAAAAATACTTTTAAAAGACTAAAGTAGATTAATTACAGTTAAGCTCAAGCTCATTTTTTTTTAAAATAATTCAAGCTCAACTCAAGCTTGATTCGAGCTTTTGAAATTCTATTAGAGATCAAGCTCATTTATTAATATCACATTTGAGTTTAGCTCGAGCCTTATTCAAATTCAGTTGCATCAATCATCTCAAGTAGATAGCACACTTGAAAAAATGATTTCTTTTGTTTCACTTTCCACCATAGTGATATCCCATGTGGAGGCATTTAAACACTTGCCCTCTTAGTGAGATATATTGCTTGCACCAGACTAGTGTTTCTCATCCATCCACCTACATCCCATATAGTAATCAATATAGTTGTAGGTAGTTCATTTAATTTCAAAACCGTTTATTTATTTATTTTTCTTCCTTTAGGCCAAAAAGGAATTTGATATCACACCAAAATGATCAACCAAGACTGTCATTGCTTCTGTATATGGATTAAGTTGTTGAAGCAGGAGAGTCATCATAGAAGAATATTTCTTTTGATTAAGACAACATTGTTTAGGAAGTTAAGCTGATAGGTGAGGAGAGGTTATGGGCCAATCGCCATACACGCAAGTATAAAGAATTGGATACTAGCACACACGTAATATAAGACCACATTGTCGTGTATGAAGAACAAAAATGACTTTTCATCCAAACCCTAAACCTAATATTTTCTTCACTGTTATATAGTTGAAGTGGTTCTTATCTTCTTCTGGCTAATTTGTTGCTTATGCGCGTTTTGTTGTGATGGAGAATTTAGATGCCGTGAAGCCTGAGGAAATGAAGGCATGTCCCCGTGGACACTGGAGGCCTGGAGAAGATGAGAAGCTGAGGCAACTTGTGGAGGAGTTTGGTCCTCAGAACTGGAACACGATCGCAGAGAAGCTGCAGGGAAGATCAGGTTCATCATTCACGAGTTCTCAATACTTGCATGCTATATATATAGATATATAATCGTCCTAAGTTAGATAAAAACTTGTTTCATGATTTGGCTGTGATTTTGTCCAGCATAGAAATTAAGAGACTAATCCTTGAGTTAACATATATGAGAGACGAACTGATTAACCTAACAACAAAAGCCAAATGTTTCTCTTTTTATCTTTAGAGAGAGAGAGAGAGAGAGAGATGGGAACAGATTGGCTTCGGATCCAAAGAATAATTCAAAAAATCAAATTTATTATGAATTTTGTGTCTACATCTGTGCATCTTGGCTAAGTGTTCTTTTTTTTTTAGCAAAAATTTTGTCAGCCATAAAGTTAACATGTTTTCAAAATATTAGTTTAGTTAGCATATCTTCTATAAGTTTAAATCCTTAGGCCGGAAGAGATGATCAGTCAATCTCTTTTTCCTTAATATGTATAAGTTAATTATGATGTTAAAAATATATCAATTAAATTGCAGCATATTTTGTTATATAGTGTGATGTATTAATACCATTTTATCAGTTAATCATAAATTTCTTGAAAAAACATTGAAAGTGTTATTTTTGCGGCCATCTATTTCATGGTCAGGCACGCTTCATCAAGATTAAGTAACGTTTGTATGATTGGAATTTTTTTTTTGGCTAACAACTTTTAACCAAATTTATAATAGTCATTTTTCTTCAAAAACTACAAAATCAAACATGTGTTTCAAGTTGTTGTTTTCAAAAACAGTTTTTTTTTTTTTAAAAATGCAACTCAAATTCAAGACTTGATGATCAGTTTTAAATTATATATGTTCATAAATCAAATTTATAAATGATACGAAATTTTTGTAGGAAAAAGCTGTAGGTTGAGGTGGTTCAACCAACTAGACCCTAGAATAAACAGAAGGCCATTCACGGAAGAAGAAGAAGAAAGGCTTCTCGCCGCACACAGGATTCATGGCAACAAATGGGCTATGATTGCCCGGCTTTTTCCAGGCAGGACTGACAATGCTGTGAAGAATCATTGGCATGTGATTATGGCCCGTAGGCAAAGAGAAAAATCCAAGTTTCTATGTAAGAACAACTCATCATCCGAAACATGGCCGCCGGCTTTCTCAAACTTCAGCTTAACTTCAGAGAGAAGGATCAAATATGGGATCTTGGAGAGCACTCATTACATCAAAATGCCATTTTTATCATTCTGCAACGCTTACCGAGCCTGTTCCATTAGTGGTGGATTTGGTGGTGGGAGTGGAAGTGAAAATGGAAGTGGGATTATGAGGAGTATGAACGATGTTCTGAGAATTGGGTGCGGCTCTAAAAAAGCGATTTTTAGTGTTAGTAATGGTAGAGGTGGTGTTCAGTTTCCGGAAAAGAGTAATGATGAAGGTAGCTTTAGGCGTGAGGATGTACCTTATATTGATTTCCTTGGTGTTGGCAAAGATTGCTGAGCAATGGCACCGTTTGGTAATAATTGGCTTGGTTTGTTCAAAAATAAGTTGTGTACAGAAATAGGTATCACTCACCATGTTATTTGTTTGGAATTTAGAATGGAGGTCTGAAGTCCGAACTCCCCTCTGTTTCTTTCTGTTTGACTGTACTGGAGCAGCACACAAACACACACACACACATACACAGAGAGAGAGAGAGAGAGAGAGAGAGAGTAGGATAGGTTTGAGAGATCAGCAAGTATTTGAAGCCATTTTCGTAGCTGATTTTGTGGAATGAATAGTGGGTGAGTGAGTTTATTTAATGTTGCATGATCTCAATCTTCTCTTTAAATGATCATCTGGTAACCTTTTCTTATTGTTACGATCGGTTAAGTTTTGGATATATTCGCTTCTAAGTGGATTGTTAAAGTACGTTAATGGATTTGGAAATATAAACAAACTGAAATACACGTAAAAATTGAATTTTTTTGAATTGAAAAGAGAATTGATTATTGGTTTTTTTAGCCCAAATTCACTTTCTTTTATTTTTCACTCTAAAATATAAGTCAAATAAATGTCATCAGGATTATTTGTCGATTCATGCATGTTGTATATAGTCTGATAAATTATTGGTTAAATGATCTTGCATGATTAAGAAAATTTAACGTGCAAATCACTCGGAAGATGAATCACATAATAGAGTTGGTTCTTGTTGAAACATTAAGTAACTAATTTATAAATTCTAACTGGTTGGCTCTAATTGTATAAGTTATGATTCGGAGAAAAAAAAAATGAATGATTTTTTCGGATCTAATCAAAATTTTATTTCACTCAGTTCAATTTTACTAACAATTAACTAGCACTATAGCAATGGTAGCAGAGAACATGAAAGTTCCATATACCTTTACATTGTTACCGAGTGCTTTGTATTTTCATAGTATACATTCATAAAGCCTATCATTTTTTTTTATTCCTAACAATCATGCGGTCATTATTAATACTGACTTTAAAAAAGTAAATGTATATTTGAATCATAACTTTGTATCATAATTTTTACATTATAAGAACGTCATCCTAGTTTGCATAGACAAAAATTTTTGTGACTAAGAATATGCTGCCCAACCATATTTAGTCAGTCTCATAACTATATTTTATAAGAAACTAGAATGATATAAGTAAAATTATGATTATTGAAATTGAATTTAGTCATGTTTTTATTGAAAAAATTTCTTAGAATTAAAATTTTTACTCTTATTTTGAATGCTGTGATTATTCAAATGTCATTTTGGCAACATCAAGTAAATATTTTAGAACATAACTGCATAACGCCATCGCCTAATAACGTGCATTTTCCTTCAAAGAATAATAAATTTTTAGTTGCTTCATATTTGAATATTATGCAACCGTTGCGTACAACGTTGTGTGGAACTTCGCAAATATATCCTCAATATTATTTTCCCTTAAGACAGGGTAATCCTACCCAATAACGAGTTTTACTTCATCTCGAAATAAAAGGTTTTCGGTTTTATTTAAAGTTAAAGCTCATATTTCGGCTATTTTTGTTATATATATATATATATATATTGTCTTTGTTCATTTTTAAGCATGAAATAGCATACAAAACAAAATATGAAATAACATGTGAAAATGAATTAAGAAATAATGCTAAAGAAACATAAGGTAAAATGTGGAACTTGAAACAACATATGAAAGAGCATGTATTCTTAGCCATGGGTTAGACTTGGTTAAGTTCAAGCTGAGTTGAATTAATTTTTCAGTTTAGAATATATATATATATATATATATATATATATATATATATATGTATTCTTTAAGATCAAATCAAGAAAAACTCAAGAATATTTTGAGCCAAATAAAATAGAAAATGGATTGACTCGCTTTCTAGCAGAGTCAATTTTCAAAGCTATTTCTAGATTTTATGTTTTATAGCCCAGATACTGATAAAGTCTCCAACAACTTATCATGAACTGCGACAATTTTATAGAAAAAGAGCCCAAATTGATTATTTTATCAAAGGGAAATATAATATCAACCGAAAATATATTTGAACAATAAAGCAATGGCAAAGATAAATACACAAAACTTATGTGATTCACTAAAAATGATTCTTATCCACTGAACAAGAACTTAATGAATCCAATAAAAAATGTTTGGATAATACAAAATCTATAAGAAAATTAAAAAACTATAAACATATTCATGCATCTTCTTTAAAACCTACGGAGATCGAATCTCTTTGAAAAATTCAGTTGGGTGCTTATAAATCTTAATCTTACCAAAATATTTAGCATTTCATAAAATAAAGCTTAAGTGAGTGAGAAAATAAGAAATATCATGGCTCACCAAATATCAAAGAATGAAGGAGAGTATTAGTGCGGAAGATGATGGAGATTAAGAACTTGGTTGTTTGGGATTAATTTAATGAGCACAACAAGACAAGTGAGTTGTTCTTAATCACATGAAACATTCAGCTGAAAAACTTTGCCCAGATTTTAATTAGGCTTCGGGCTTGTAAAACACATAAGAGGAATAACATGACTGGCTTTGATTGAAAAAGAGATATGAAGAAGAAACTTTACATAGACAACTTTATATTGGGGAAGCGCAAGAACTCTTTGACAAACATCTTCGCAATCATAATTATCGTGCACGTCAAGTCAACGTTTTTTTTAATTAATCAACCCCATTAATCAGAATAATCTCTTTAAGAAAAAAAAAAGAAATAAGAAATAATATATTTTTTAATAGAAAAAATTTAAATAAAGACACAAAATTAAAATATTGATCAAGATAAATTTTATACACATTAGATTTATATTAAGAGAAGTGAAATAAATTTTTGAATATTAATTATTGCATTCATTTAAAAGTAAAATTATGATCAAAATTTGATGAATATCTTAACCTTAAATTGTCCCCACTTTAAAGTATACCAATAGGTAACCTAATTACAAATTCTTTTATTGATTATGACAAATTTTACATACTTAGAATAAAAAGAATTAGGCTGGGCCTTGTAGGGCTGTCAAAAAAGATCGTTGTTCGCAAACAGTTCGTGTTCGGTTCGTCAAAAAAGCTCGTTGTTCGCGAACAGTTCGTGTTCGGTTCATCAATGATATCGTGTTCAATTCGTTCGATAAATAAACGAAACGAACGTGAACAAAATTTTTTCGTTCGGTTAGTTAAACGAACCAAACACGAATAGTGATGCATTCGTTCGTGTTCGAATCGGTGTTGTTCGAAATACAAAATAATTTAAATTAATTATATATAAAAAATTTATGATATTTTTAAAAATTAAATTTTATAAATTATAACATATAATAAATCAATAATAATATATTAATATACTATTTTAGTAATATACTAATATAGATATTATATATTTATATAATATAAGTTATAT